CTGTTTTTTCTTCAATGTACTGACATTGAAATTTCTTGTAGCACATAGCCGACCTTGACCCTTTATGCGTGGTGCCGTCCTGCTGCACATACTTTAATAGTTGGAATTGGAACACTTATCCTGCTCGTGTTTTTACCTTGCGCGGTAACTCGTCATTGCCTTCTTTGGACGCTTCAGTTGTTTTGATTACCTGATCAAGTCGGTAAAATGATACCCTGAGAATCGCAGCGTAATATGAAACACAAAAAATGCTTATTCATCTTCTTGGTTGATTCTGGGTGTCAATGCTCAATTTTTTCTCTTAATTTATGGGTTAGGGTAAGCGACAACAACGTATTTGCTTTTTGATTACCTCGTATGTGGTTAGCCATCGTTTGCTTTATTAAGTTTTGTAAAATTATTATCCCAGTGCACATTTATAACCTTAGTCATCGTCCTTTATTGTCTAGCTGCATGTAACTATTGGAGGAAATGGGGAATGGGGGGTAGTGACTCTCGCCTTTGACTAAAATGTTAATTCTACCCCATTTCTTTAACATTGGGATGGTCTAAATCGTTGTAACTATACAGAGCCTAATATGTCATAAACATCTACAAATATTGATGGAGGGGAATTTGTGACGTCATGTCTGTTTCCATCTGTCGCCTTTGTCAAAATCACGAACATTCACCAAAATCTGACATTCTGTTTCGCTTTTAGACAAAATAGTCAATGTCAATGTTAATTTTGGTCTCTTTGACCAGATCCAACATTTTCCCAAATTTTCGTTTGACTAAACGCTCTGTAGCAACCATTTTTGCGATAGCAACAATTTTTGCAATAACAATAAATTATTTCAAAAATGGTTGATATTGCAAAAGTAGAACGTCGATGGAGCCATTTTTGCAATAAAAAACATTTTGGCAATAATTATTTCTTTTGTCATTTTTCACCCTGATGATTAACAGAATCATTATTGATGTATTCATCATGCATATTATCATCAGCAACATGCTTTCCATACCTATTTTTACGAAAGTGATAACAGTCTTTTATTAAAAAAAATAGTTGATATTTCAAAATTAGAACGCAGAGGGAACCATTGTTAGCAATAAAAACCATTTTATCTAAGCTTTATGTCAACATTTGGCATTTGTACAAAATTATACATATCGAATCAGGCATTGTCTTTCCGTTTACTATGTATTTCGTGCGTAATTTCGCTAATTCATGTCTGTTTGATTATTCACCAAAATGTGGCATTAAATGTATATTCCAACACTCTTCTTCTATTCTAAACCAAATAGTCAACCAACGTTGCCCTGCAAAGGGGGGGGGGGGCTGACTGGGTACCGAGTAATAATTAATCTTTGTTCTGATAATGGATGAAGACCATGAGTGATTGTTATGACCCCGCCCCCAAACCATGAACATTCACACAACCCTGTCAGAAAATATAAATTCAAACCCACTTCTTAAACAATTCAACCAGAAAGCCATTTTCTGATTAGATCACACCAGTCATGTTTTAGTAATTATGGTTTAGCTTCCGCAAATGATAGAGGGTTTATGCTTATAGAACATCATCTTCCATAGACGACTTGATATCGCTCTACCCCCGTACATCTTACCAAGGCCTTCACGTTAGACTATATTTTTCGTCACTTATTTTGATTGATCTAGGACCAAGCTCTAGACCTCTAAGATTCCTCGATAGAAAATATCATCACGGATGCCAAATCTCGCGATTTTCATCTGAAATGTCTACCTGTGATAATCGAGCTATGATTACGCTTTGAATCACTTCACACCTTAGTTCAAATTTTTCTTATTTACTCTTCTGTTCTTCTCATTATGCTAGTCAAACTGCTTTTCCTTGGTGTTCCGTGAGATTTACAACTTGAAACACAGCTTTCAACGGATATAAACGTATATTATTATCCTGTTTGTGTTTGTATCACGGCCTCCGATCGGACAACGTTATTGTTCACGTGTCTGAAGATAACAAAGTACCTTACAGTTCCGGAATTTCAGACCAAACTAGTAATGGCTAGACGCTGGAAAACTCGCGGTTGTTACTTCAGGAACATGACAGAACATGGACAGGCATGTAGTCTAATAGCAATAAAATAAACCCTCTACCATAACGCGCTTAAAATAGGCAACAAGACAAAATAGAATGCAAATAAGATCATATGTTCAAAACTATAAATAAGAACAATTCCCTAACGTCCGCGAGATCTAAAGCTTTAACGCTAAAATGGACAATCGATTGCCAAGTACCGTTGCCTGGATGATACATAATCTAAACTACATATTCAAACAGTGATAACTTCGCTCAGAATACAGTAATTTGAATGAAATTATCAACATATTCATTTTTCATTATCTATTTTAGAACTATTATAGGAGAACTATTAGCACTTTATCTGAATCTTACATTATATATATTTAGCTCTCTAGAAACAAAGAAAAAATATTATGTTAACATTTACTGATGTTTTCGTGGGTCGGGAGCCGTGAGGTACATTTAACGTGTTTACTAATACGTTAATTCCAATTTGTGTATCTCAATATTTCCCGGATGATACTTATACGAACTATTGGGCAAGAATGTGTCCAATCTGTGGAAGACAGCGTTAAGAAAATGTTAAAACCGCACAGAAAGGCAAGAATTAACATGGGACAATTAATGGGACTGCTATGGTAGTCTGTGACCATTCAAAGTAGGTGTATGATTTTCTCCCCTTATTTCGTGTAGCTCTTTTCGGAACCACAGTTCAGTAAGACGCTGCCTCAGTAGCATGGAGGTCGGTATTTTCTAGCGTGGTGCACGGCAGTGGGCCTTGCAAGGAAACGTGACTATGCGCTCGGATGAGACATTGGTGTGTACTTAAAAGCAATGAAATGAAATAAGAGGAGGTTTAACCTTCTGCTTTTCTGTACCGAATAGGCAGGATTTAATGGAACAATTTAAACACACTCATGAACATGTCTGATTTTTCTATTATTATGGCTACATATAAGCCCAGGTGAGAGAGAAATGGGATTTAACGTCCACTCGACACAAACTGTCGTTCAATTGCATTTCGAAAATTCGCTTGCGTGAAGGAGTCGTTAGCCGTCGAAGGAAACCGGATAACAACCTACGAGGTTGGTCAGACGACCTTACTCCTTGCCACGTACAAGCAGGGAATCGAAACTACGCTACTTGAATCAATAGCAGACATTATGAACTAACACACACGCCTGATAAGGACAGCTGTCTAGTCATTCGGATGAGACGAAAAACCGAGGTCCCGTGTATACATTGGAATGCACGTAAAAGATCCCTTGGCAGTTGGAATTCGATATAAGAGTAGGCGATAGTGCCGCTGCCCGGGCAAAATTTCCCTCATAGCACACTGTATGGCGTATGCCCGTCTTCATTAGCCCAGCATAGGAGCAGAACAGTAGGACGTTAAACACCATTTCATTTCATTTCATTTTGCTAACCTGGAGGTCTCGTGTTCCATCCCTGCGTCGGCCGTGAAAGTTCATCGGAATGTCAGTGGTGCAGGACAGAGGGTATAAAAAAAAAGGTATAGTCTTTCGGATGGTACGATAAACCACTCTCCCGTGTACATATTGGCATGCGCGTTTAAGATCCCCTGGCAGTTTGAATTCAATATAAAAGTAGGCAATATTATCTCACAGCACGTTGTATGCCCTATGCCAGTCTTCATTATCCAGGAACAGTATCTCGTCGTTCGGACGATACTAAAAACTGGCGTCCCGTTGTGGCTGCTGGAATTCGACTAAGAGTACGTAGAAACGCAGCTGACCGGGCACATCCCCCTGCCCCCAAATCTCCCTGCATGACGTAAGCCGACATTAATTTCCCGGTTGGTGCAGAAAAGTAGGACATTAAACTCCATTTAATTTCATTTCATTTCTAACTCGTACTAACAACTTGATCATTTCATATCGAAGCAGTACGCCCACCCGTGCAATCTTGTGTTCAATCATTCTTTTCCAAACTTTGATAAATGTTTCTTTCACACTGAAACTAATAACTAAATACAATACTTAATATAATTACAATAGTTGACCAGTTTGGTTCTGTCACAGGCGATATAAATGTAGTCCGTGAATAACTATTAATATGTTATGTGAATCTGGATATTTTAATGTCAAACGGTAAAGTAAGAAAGGGAGAGAAATGAAATGAAATGGGGTTTAACGTCCTACTGTTTTGCTCCGAACTGGGCTAATGAAGACGGGCATACGCCATACAGTGTGCTATGAGGGAAATTTTGCCCGGATAGCCGCACTATGGCCTACTCTTATATCGAATTCCAACTGTCAAGGGATCTTTTACTTGCAAGCCAATGTGTACACGGGACCTCGGTTTTTCGTCTCATCCGAATGACTAGACAGCTGCCCTTGTCAGGCCCTCCGTCATGCATCACTGACAAGGGGAAACCACGCCGGAAAATCTGGATGAACTTTCTCGGCAAATGCAGGGATGAACAACCGACCTCCAGGCTAGCGAGCCAGCGTCTTACCCACCGTGATCCCCAAGAAAGAGAGAGATATATATGGGATTTAACGTCCAATCGACACACACTAGGTCATTTCGGGACTAACATATGGCTTAATGTTATTTTAATAATTCGTTGGACAGGCAACCCTACTCCTTGTCATGTACACGCTGAAATTCGAAACCACGCCACTTGACTCAATGACAGACCTTGTTATTTCATGCGCACGCGTTAAACTACGAGACCCCCCCCCCCCCCACACACACACACACACACACACACAAACCCTGCGGTAAAGGAAGAAAACCTGGGCGACTGATAAACATAGCAAAATATTATGTCAGTAATATAATGATAATAATAATAATAATGAATTTATAGTCGATGGCGCTGGGCCGCACTGTCACGTTTGGTATTCAAGATTAAATATTAAGTGAGTCTTCAAGCATGATTTAAAGGACTCTGACGTAAACAAATTAAACAACAAACAAGAAACACACATAAGGTATGTTTATTTTGCGATCTAGGTTATATTTTAATATCTTGCTGGTGTATCTGTTTATTTTAAAGGAGTAAAGAATACCATATTGTAGTTGTTTGTAACTAGGTGCTTTAAACTGGTACTGGTGTATATATTGCTTTAACCTAGGCTGACACGAAACAGAATGACTCTCCACAATAGACATCTGAAAATACAAAATATGGTTTATATATTAAAACAAAACAAGCCGGCATAACCCTTCTGGAAATTTCATTAGGTTAAGAAAAAAAACCACCATACTCTGCTGTTTCAGAATCTTTGTGCTAACGCTTTTCCATTGTTTCGACATCTTGACCACTGTATTGGCCATTTTTAAATCTCCAATTAAACAGATTATTTTGACGTCCACCATGTCGCAACTATGAATTGTTCCTATATAGTTTCATTCAACATGGCAGACAGAGCGTCAACTTACAGAACACCATCAATAACAGCATCAGATGAGTGTATTCAAAGTAACCATGAAAGACAGATGGTAAACTAATAGATGCCTAAAACACCATCAAGTGTATAAATAGTTTACACCATGGTAGACGACCAAAACATCAAGTTTATGTGCAGTTTACGCCATGATAAAACATCAGAGGGTGCATGTAAGTTTACACAATGATAGACCACTAAGACATCAGAAGGTACATGTTCAGTTTACACCATGGTAGACAAATAAGACATTATAAGGTACATGTACAGTTCACACCATGGTAGACGATCAAACATCATAATTATGACAGAGTGCAAACTTACAGAACACCATCAAGTTATACCATCATAAGGTGAACGTATTCAATGTATCCATAACAAACAGAGGGTAAACTTAAAGAATACCCCCCCCCCCAGTGTTCATCATAGCCAACTTTAAACTAAACGCAAGGGAACGAGGAGTGGGGACAGAAAGTTGGTCGGTGTCCAATAACTTCTTATTGCTGGAGTCGTTTCTTTCTTATTTGTTTATATATAAATCATATGGATTGGTGATTATAAATATAATAGTAAATATTTACTTGCACAATAACCACCAACACATGGGTAACCACCACACGTCCTGTCTTCGACACATGGTACTATAAAAATATGTAATATATCATTATATATGAAAATATGAATATCATGAATATTGGAGTTGTATTCATCAAAAAGGGGAATAAGAACGAGTTATTTACATATGTCTAGAAACATTATCTTTAATATATATAAACAGTCCGGGTTTGTATAAATGACTCACTGTCTATAATATAAATCATATTTACCGAAACAAGCAAAGTCTGAACAAGTGCCAGCAGAACCCGCGATGGCGCAAACATCTCCCAAACCACAGATAACTATAATAAAGATACTTTTAAATATAGAACTGTGCTTTCATAAAACATTTAAGCATATACTGCTAAGCACAAGGTATATGCCAGTCGCATACAAATGCGAATGAACAATATTGATAATAGTAACAGGCGTGTTATGAATAACATAATATATCTATATGATACTTACATCTGCACGTATCATTCATACATATACTATGAGTATTACAGAAGTTATCTTCCCCACATGGTTGACCTTAAACAATAAAATTAGACAATACAATAAATATGCTTTAATTATAGCAACTTAAAGTTTCTCTCAGCAGGTCGACACTTATCTATTTCTTGAATACGGCTAATTTTCTTTCTGTAGTTATTGATAATAACAGTCCAGTAGTTACAGATATTAAATCGTTAGTGTATATCGGGTGGTCAAGAAAAACACGAGTACACATATTGACGTTTTGTTTATGTAACCCGAGGTCAGTGTGATGCGACTTCTCAGTAAGGGCAAAACTTGATTTTGTTAAACTCGTACCATGTTAACAATATTTTAGCGATGGACCTGCATTTCGCAGTCACTTTAAATAGTGTTTTCCTATCATAAACTGGTTATATGATTGTAGCTCAACTTTATATTGTGAAAGTAGATAATATTGTAAGACAACATACCTGTATCGCCACAGGAGATAGTAACGCCATTTTCCTCTGCATTACACACTTCATCTAAAATATGAAACATATATGAAACGCCATATTCACCTCAAATTTTAATAAAGAGGAGTCTTATAATGGGTTAAAGGACAGTGGGGGGTCAGTCATTATCACATATTGGAAAGAATTAATTAAACACGTTCCAAATATAATTTTAACACGGAGATCATTGCTACGATAGCTGAGTAATACAGGTTTCCTGAATCGGAAGTGACGAACGCCAAAGGAAAACATTGATGTCTTATCCAAGAGGACCTTATATCAACCCCAATTAAGAATGTTACTAACCGCAACGTCACTTCTTTATTTGATTTAGATGCTAGAGGCTATAATACATTTTATTAACAGGTTACGGTGTTAACTCTTCTTGGACATTTGCCATATAGGAAGTCCACCTTACTATTTGCTTCGTTTTGCCTTTTTATTATTATGAACTTGACTGTTATTACCCTTAGTACGTAATGTATTTGTATTCAACTTAATTATTTCAAGAAATGTATTGATAGGTTTTTGAATAAAATTGTCTTCCTCTAGAACACCTGATTTGATACATTATTCACAAGACAGGTAAAATGTTGTTGATAACACCTTTTGAGGTAGTGCACTCATAACATTATATAGGACATTTATTAAGCAGTTTCTGTAACTTGTTAACATATAAAAATATTTGTATACAGTTGTACGGCTAGGTATTATAATCACACAAGAGTCAATCAATGTCCATATCACACATCTAGGGTTATAATCCCATATTAATTAAGTGGTTTCCATCTATGTGTACATTACGATTAGAGGTTTATATTTCTGCATATGGTTTCATTATAAGATCAAAGGTCACTGTTCTCCTAATTTATGGTTTCATTGAATGTTTTGATTATACATAGTATATATATATTTCACTCCTTCTGTCTGTATCAGTTTCCAAGGAGCCAAACTTACGGCCGTGGGGAAGGAATTGAAGAGTAAGTGGGGTATTATCAACATACCCGACATAAAGATCACAGTGCCGGGACATGTTAGACTTGCCCTAAAAAGTAGGTCTGACATGGACCTAGCGCTGGCCCAGAACCTACTTGTCGGTATGACCGTGACGGTGTCCGAACCGATCACCTTGTCTGTTGATAAGGTGATTGTTCATGGGATACCGGCCGAATATACCGGGGAGGAAATTCTGGAAGATCTTACAGAGAGGGGGTACCATGCTACCGAGGTATATCGGTGTAATGTGGCCCAGGGGAAGGATCAGGGAAGCGTCGCCCTATCCTTCAAGAAAGGTACCGCACCTGAGGCCCTTAAAATCGTGTACCTCAATCGCCGTACCCACCCCTATGTTCAGAGGGTGAGGCAGTGCGCCAACTGCCAGAAACTAGGACATACGGTAAAGTACCGTGGGGAAGGAATTGAAGAGTAAGTGGGGTATTATCAACATACCCGACATAAAGATCACAGTGCCGGGACATGTTAGACTTGCCCTAAAAAGTAGGTCTGACATGGACCTAGCGCTGGCCCAGAACCTACTTCTCGGTATGACCGTGACGGTGTCCGAACCGATCACCTTGTCTGTTGATAAGGTGATTGTTCATGGGATACCGGCCGAATATACCGGGGAGGAAATTCTGGAAGATCTTACAGAGAGGGGGTACCATGCTACCGAGGTATATCGGTTTAATGTGGCCCAGGGGAAGGATCAGGGAAGCGTCGCCCTATCCTTCAAGAAAGGTACCGCACCTGAGGTCCTTAAAATCGTGTACCTCAACCGCCGTACCCACCCCTATGTTCAGAGGGTGAGGCAGTGCGCCAACTGCCAGAAACTAGGACATACGGTAAAGTACTGTAAGGGAAAAAACATATGCGCCCAATGCGGAGGAGAACACGCGGTGGCTGAGTGTAGGGTGGGTAGCAAAATTAACTGCTCAAACTGCAAGGGCAGCCACGCAGCCAACTCCCCGCAATGCCCAAGAATACAAGCGACCAAAGCAGCGCTACGTCTGCAAAGCAAAGATAAACTTACCTTTAGGGAGGCAACCCAGCAAGTAAAGAACAAGGAGAGAGAAGCAAAAGTAGTCAGAGAACCGGTGGTGGAACCAAAACAAGCTCCAGCACCGACTCTCTCGACGTCCGATGCAACCCCCACCCCTAAAGGTAAAGACAAGAAGAAAGAGAAGAAAACATCTACCAAACCTGTAGAGGTCAAACAGAAGACAAATCCATCCAAGAAGAAAGAAGAGGAACCGAAAACGAAGATTCATGAAGAACACTTCATTCCTAAATTTAAAACGGAAAGTGGCTTCATGAACTTTATGATCGAGTTCCTCAGGGTGGCCGTGTCCAATGAGGACCAAACTACCAAGATGGAAAGCCTACTCGGCAAAATAAAGACACACATGGTCAACGCCGATGTCCTGTGTGTCATGATTAATTCAATCAACACGGTAAAAAAAGATCAAGAGAAGAAGACGACGAAGAAGAAACCACAAAAGGCGATCAAACGGCAAACCTCGCACTCCGTAGAAGGATATCGTCACTACAGCACTGGCGATATGCCCAGTTGCTTGCCGGTTTTAACACCAAAGACGAACACTAATGAGGTACCTCCTATGGAATGTGAAACGCCAATTGACCAATAAATGGACAAGACAGAGAGGCATCCATCCGGACAGTCAACATGGCGGGCCAGGTAAAAGTTTTACAACTAAACGTTAATGGACTGGTTCCCAGATGTGCTGAGCTGAGAAAATACATCACCCGCAACCCGAAAGATGTAATATGCCTCCAAGAAACCAAGCTACTACCAACTAAGAACGACATCTACTTGCCCGGATACACTTGTCAGAGAAGGGACAGACCGGGCAGCACGACACGTGGCGGCGGTCTTGCCATCTACGTCAGTGATAACTTAAATTATATTTCTGTTTCGCTTGACGTAGAGGACCCTCTAGAAGCAATGGGCATAGCCATCACATTGAGCAATAATACAAAATTGACAATAGTGAATGTCTATGTACCCCCAGATGTCACGAGAAAACCAGTTGACTTCCAGTCACTTCTCGACCAGCTTCCTCGGGGCGAATTTGTGTTTTGCGGGGATTTCAACGCAAAACACGTCCTGTGGGGGTCACCGAGGAATGGATGTCGGGGGATTAGCCTATGCTCAATAATAGAAGAGAACGACCTATGCGTACTGAACGACGAGAGCCCTACTTTTGTTGGAGGAAATGCCCCACCTTCACACCTGGATCTCACGCTCTGTACGCTTGGTATGGCAAACCGCTGCGACTGGCAAGTACACGAAGATGAAACACTTGGCAGCGACCATCGACTGATAGAACTATGCATCCAATGTGAAACAACCAGGGAAGTCTATAACGGGAAACCCAATTGGAAAATAAAAGAGGCTGATTGAGCTAACTTCCGTGTAGGCTGCCTTGCCAACATCGACGTGTACGCAGCCGCAGACGACTCAATTCCCAAGACTTCTGGAGGGCAATCAAGGATTAGAAAACCTTGGTGGTCACCAGATTGTCAGAAGGCGGTTAACGAAAGAAAGAAGGCACTACGCCTACGGAAACGCCACTACAATGAAGTCAATCACCAAAACTACCTGAAGTTGAAATACGCCGCAAGAGACACCATCCGGAAGGCACAGAGCGAACACTGGATGACATTCTGTAATGCGTTGAATCAAAACACGCAAACAGGTGCCGTCTGGAAGAAGCTGAACGCCATGAACGGGAAGCGCAGATCATTCAACATACCAAACCTAAAGAATGGAGATGAGTACGTTACCAACGGCAATGGAAAGGCAGATCTACTTGCAAAAGCTTTCGCTGACGCAACCAGGGACGAAAACCAATCACCAGAGTTCCCGAAGAGAAAGGAAATATTTTACTCACAGCACCCTTCATTAGAAATTGAACCTAATCAATCTACCCTTCTCTGAGGAGGAGTTAAATAAGGCTCTTTTCCTCAAGAAGGATAGTGCGGCTGGTGAGGACAAAGTAAAGTATTCGATGCTCAAACATCTGCCTAGAAATGCCAAAAGGATACTACTAAACGTCTTCAACACATCCTGGCTGGCAGGAGAGGTACCCAAAGAATGGCGGAAAGCCAACGTCATCCCTCTCCCAAAACCAGGTAAAGAGAGAACAAAGGCAGAGTCCTATCGACCAGTAAGCTTGACATCCACACTGTGCAAAACCTTGGAAACAATGGTTAACATACGACTACAGTTCTATCTGGAGAGCAACCGACTGATCGACGAAAATCAAAGCGGGTTCAGGAAAGGGCGTTCAACAACGGACCACTTGGTGAGACTACAGCAAGTCATGTCGCAGGCACTCCTCTCTGGGAACCTGTTATGTGTCGTGTTCGTAGATTTAACTAAGGCTTTCGATTTAGTCTGGCTAGACGGGCTGCTCTTCAAGTTAGGACGTATTGGTATAACGGGCATAATGTTTCGGTGGATTAAAAGCTTTCTGAGCGATAGAAGGATACAGGTGAATGTAGGCAGATTCCTGAGTGCCGAGCAAACATTAGAAAATGGCACGCCTCAGGGGTCGGTTATCAGTCCCACTCTCTTCAATATCATGATCAACGACATACAGAAATCTTCCTACCTCGACGCCAAAACTGAGTTAGCTAAATTTGCTGATGACAGTACGATATGGAGGAAAGGGAGGAACTTCTGTGAACTACAAAAGAACATGCAGAAGGCCTTGGACAAATTCATGGCATGGGCAAACGATTGGGGATTCAAAGTCTCGGAGAGGGATAAAGGGATAGAGGGATACACAGAATGACTCTGTGTATGAACGGGAAAACCATCGAGTTTAAAGACCAAACCAAGTTCCTTGGCGTAATCTTTGACCGAAGGCTGACCTGGAAACCGCACATCCACGAGACTGTAGATAGATGCACCAAAATCCTAAACTTAATGAGGAAAATAACGGGCAGCACATGGGGTGCCAATAGAGTTACATTAATGATGGTGTATCGTGCTCTAATACGCTCTGTATTAGACTACGGCTCTTTGGCCTTCATGAACTGTGCGCCAAAACTCTTAAGTAAGCTTGACACCATCCAATACAAAGCTCTGTGTATTGCGACCGGCGTAGGGCTTGGGACTAGGAGAGAGGCATTACTACAGGAAGCCGGGGAGTTGCCCCTATCCCTAAGAAGAAAAGAACTAGCGACAAGGTATTATTGGGCCAAGATCTCGCAACTGGGCGAAAGATCCCTACTTTTGTCAGTCTACAAAAAACAAGATATGTAAGAGATCCTAAAAAGAAAAGCCTCGGCCAGGGTATCAGAGAAACAATCAAGGAACTGCAACTCGGGGAGCTCGTGATAAATGAACACGACCCTCCAGCGATCGCCCCTTGGACGCTCCCTATACCGCCGGTTAATCTAGATCTACTACAGAAAACTGAGAAGAAAAACAACCCCACTGCTGTACGTGCTTTCTCTCTAGAACACCTGGAAGACAACTGGCCGTCTGATGACTGGGACCATGTGTACACGGATGGCTCACGCAATCCTGAAAGGGGCACCAGCTCGTTTGGAATATACCTGCCAAACGGGAAACAGGGAATAAGCAGGAAACTGCCCAATAACTGTTCGGTGTACACTGCAGAGCTTGTGGCCATTCGTGACGCTATATCATGGATTTCCCATCAACAGACTAGTAAGTTCGTCATTCCAAGCGACTCTCTGAGCAGACTGATTTCAATCCAAAATGACAACTCGGACTCAAGACCAGAAGTCATTTTGGAAATCAGGCAGCTGTACCAGAGATATGTAAGATATGTAAGAGATCCTAGAAAGAAAAGCTTCGGCCAGGGTATCAGGGAAACAATCAAGGAACTGCAACTGGGGGAGCTCGTGATAAATGAACACGACCCTCCAGCGATCGCCCCTTGGACGCTCCCTATACCGCCGGTTAATCTAGATCTACTACAGAAAACTGAGAAGAAAAACAACCCCACTGCTGCACGTGCTTTCTCTCTAGAACACCTGGAAGACAACTGGCCGTCTGATGACTGAGACCATGTGTACACGGATGGCTCACGCAATCCTGAAAGGGGCACCAGCTCGTTTGGAATATACCTGCCAAACGGGAAACAGGGAATAAGCAGGAAACTGCCCAATAACTGTTCGGTGTACACTGCAGAGATTGTGGCCATTCGTGACGCTATATCATGGATTTCCCATCAACAGACTAGTAAGTTCGTCATTCCAAGCGACTCTCTGAGCAGACTGATTTCAATCCAAAATGACAACTCGGACTCAAGACCAGAAGTCATTTTGGAAATCAGGCAGCTGTACCAGAGGGTTATAGAGAAGGGAAGCTAAGTAGAAATCGTGTGGATTCCATCACATGTCAACATTAGAGGAAATGAGGAGGCAGATCGACTCGCTAATGAAGGTCTCAAGGACACAGCACCACTCCGCACCATAGACTACAGCACCACGGAAATCTACAGTATGGTCAAAAGACAGGTCAATTCAATCTGGGAATTAAATCTCGTTGAACTTGACACATACAGATTCCGGCTGGATGACAAGATCTACACAAAGACAACACTCAATCACCCTAGAAGAGATATTTGTAGACTTACATCACAGCTAAGGGTGAAAGAGCGGCTGCGAGACTACAAACACCAAGTCATCATCTGTGAGTGCGGAGAAGAATGTACCACCAACCATGTCCTGGTAGACTGCTAGGTATACGAGGAGGAGAGGAGGGAACTAGTGAGAACAATGGAGACCAACAACATACCATTCAACACTAAGAACCTACTCTTCCCGAGACCAGATCTGAAACTGCAAATTTTCGAACAAATCCACGCCCTAATGGACACAGTTGGACTAAGTAGAATAGTGAAGTAAGAGGGGGTCACGGTTAGACGGGCCCGGCATCTAAACACTGAACTACATAAGGGATTTATACCAAACTGGCAGGATAGTGGAGTAAGGGGGAGTCACGATCAGACGGACTCGGCATCTAAACACTATTCCACCAAAAACAGACACCAAACCTACAGAGTGGGATAGCGGAGTAAGGGGAGGTCACGATAAGACGGGCCTGGCACCTAAACACAAACCCCACAAAGATGACATCTACCAAACTAGCAGGATAGTGGAGTAAGGGGGAGTTACGGTCAGACGAATTCGGCACCTAAACACTATTCCGCAAATAAAACTGATACCAAACCCAGAGAGTGGGATAGTGGAGTAAGGGGAGGCCACGATAAGACGGGCCTGGCACCTAAACACTAAAACGATGACATCTACCAATCCAGAAGCAGACGAGATCATCTACCAAACGATATGTTTTATATTAAATAAAGGGAAGAACTTCCCACTAAACCAAATCCATGGCCTAAGGCCAAATGGAAAGATTGCAAAATCATATTCTAAAAAAACAGGAATCAGCTTCGGCTCTCCTATGTCTTGTCTGCGATATCACTTATGTGGAAGCAGACGTTAAACACCAAGAACGAACGAACGTCTGTATCAGTATTGTGCTTGATAACGACAAGAGAATCATTGTTGAAACGTAGCTTTAATTAAATATAGTAATTGTTATCCATAGAACTGTTGTGTTTATTTTAATGTGTTCAATTACTAAATGCCATTCAAACAGTATAAAATGTTGTACTTACTGAACTTACTGAAGGATACACAAGTATCATCAATACAGTGCGCGCCAACAGTTGTATTACAGGCTTTACCACCACAATTGGTAACTGACAAATACAACAACATTTCTGTTTGTAAGATTGATAACTTAGTTATCGATTTCAATATGGATATTTTCGTTGAGAAAAGGTTATTTGTGATTGATTCATTTACCTATTAATTGACCAATATGTGCCATTAATTGTTAAAACAATCCAAAGATAGGATGGAATTTTCAATTTGTATGGAAAATTACAACATTTAACACAGTTCTGTGAATCATGAATAACTGGTTATGGATTTATTGGTTATTAATGTAGCTGATAGAAAACTCTGTATCGTACCATTGGTGGTACATTTTAATTGGAAACAATTTCCGCCTCTAGCTTCACACTCTGTCACGTTACAGAGTATCGCTGTAAAAAAAAATATTAATGTTAATATAAACACTTATTGTTAGATAATGTGACATTCTCCCCGTCTTCAGAACTGATTACGCCATCCAAAATGTGTCAGATTTCTTGTATATGTTAATAGCAGCACCTGGCCATGTGATTCACCAGCAGGTACAGTGATTATTCCAGAGATAAAATAATCACAACAAATTTAATATTTCCCTCCACCGAAATAAGTTTGAATCAATAGATAGGTCCAGATACCAATTACCCTGTCATTGCATTAATTGAAATTTTGTATTTCCAATACTACAAATAGCAACTTAGTTTTATGCACGTCCACAACTTCCATGTAAATAATAATTTGATTTTTTCTCTCACCCTCTTTAACTGGTATTGTTCCTTCAGAATCTGAAATAAAGACAAAATCGATGAGAACATGGCATCCATGAATAATATTATAGTTAAAATGTAAATATGATATTTTTCCTGTTAACATTTATCATTAGATTACGTAAAGTTTACGTCATTTTGGTTAGCTTCCAACAATGGTAAAATTTTACTGTTAAATTTACGTTACTTGTATGTCAGAATGGTTATGGTTACGTTTACGTCAGAAAATGACGTACATGTTTTGACAGTTTTCTAACCATTTTTTTTTTCGCTTTGAAAACTTGTGGATTAAATAACCATACCAGTGTGTGTACATTTTAACAATAAATAGTTGGAATACACACATAATAATGATGGGATTGATTGTTAGAGCATACTTACATTGTCCCCTGATTATAAAGTATTTACATTAATATAAAGATTTAATTGAGATGTAATGGGTGAATTCTTATGTCAATCTGCTGTCAAAAAATCTGAATCTTGACTCCTTTTTGGTTTAGTTTGTTCATAAATGAGCTTCTTGGGTGGTCAGTCAACGCTGGCTAAATTATTATGGTCATAAAGAATGTACCTAACTTACCGTCACAGTTTTTTCCAAAATACCCTGTAACACAATTACAGCTGTAACCGTTACCAACTGGTGAACAAGTACCATTATTTTTACAGGGATTAGGCAAACACCCATTCACTAGAATGCACAAATAATATAAACAACGTGGCTGGTTTCTCTACAGAAGTGTTCACCCACTCAAGTCGATCTCGCTTTCCACTATTCCACTTAATAATAATAATAATAATAATAATAATATCTTTATTCGTACTTAATTGTACACTTTCAAAGGGAAAAAATAACAATGAAAAATTACATATGTACAATAGTTCATTAGGTATTTACAGTTAAAACTAGACAACCTTCTTATGAAATACACAAATGATCAATGATTTCTTCAATGCTAGGGTCTTGTTTTGAGTCTCTAAATAAAATAAAGTCTCTTATTCTATTAGCTGCCAATACATCATTTACACTATTATGTTCAGTGTCACATTTATTAATCGTATTTAGTATATCATTTACATTCATGTCGCTAATATTATATTTATTAACATTATATTTGTAACATATATAGTTAATATTATAACACATAGTGGGTTTACTTCCATGCAGAGCATGCAGAGCACAGATGTGCGTACATTCATTTTTACTTTTTAATATACTACTGTCAAATTTCATACATCGTTTTTGAAGCTGAGAGAGAGAGAGAAATGGGTTTTAACGTCCACTCGACACAAACTAGGTCATTTCGGGACTAACATATGGTTTTAATGTTATTTCAATAATTCGCTTGCGCGTAGGGGTCTTTAGCAGTGGGAGGAAACCGGAGGACCCGGAGAAAACCCACGAGGTTGGACAGGCGACCCTACTCCTTGTCACGTACAACCGGGGATTCGAAACCACGCCAGTCGACTCAATGACAGACTTTATGATACAGCGCGCGCACGCTAACCATTCAACCATCCAACCCCTCTTTTGAAGCTGGGCTTATATTGTAAAATCATTGCAAATTAAATGTAGTAAGGCATTATGGGTGCGATTTGGTAAATTGAGTAGCCTCCTGACACTCTTACGCCAAGCACAATAAAATCTCCCTATGGACTTGTGCGTCATGTCCCATAAAGGACATTTATATAAAACCATTCAGTATGTCTTAAACAAATCATACTTGATAGAGCTCTGAACAAAATGAAAATTCTTGAGAGTTACATTTACTTTAGTTAAAAAATGTCTAACACATTTATCAATAAAATTATCTTTTAATTTACAACATAGAACATTACCTAGATGAGGTTCAGTGTTAATATTCTGCAACTTTTGACCATCGATATAAATATCTTTACAAGTGAAAGATTTGCCTTTTGAAGGAAACATAAGTAATTTACTCTTATCGGGGTTAAATTTTAAACTGTATTCTTTAGAGTAGTCATTTGCTATGGATAGCAGCATAATCACAGACTGTCTACTTGGAGCTACAAAAGTGACATCGTCAGCATACGCAATAGCTCCAACATATACATTGCCGATAGAACAACCGAATTTGCTATTTTTGCATCGAATGAGCAATTCGTCTAAATAAACAGTAAATAGTATAGGTGATAAAACGCCTCCTTGTTTTACTCCATTAGTTACATTAAAAGATTTAGTTGTATAATTACCCCACCTTATTCGAATTTCTTGGTTAACATACATGCGAAGAAGAAATCTAATAGTGAGGGAGCACAAACCCCTCGATTTCAACAATCTAAACAGCTTGATATAACTGACACGATCAAAAGCCTTACTAGCGTCCATTAGGCACACATAAATGTCTGAGTTATTTTCATTATAATACCGGATTGTCCCATCTGTTATAAAAGAACAGTGACTTGTGGAGTTACCTGGTTTAAAACCATACTGCAGATCTTAACTAAGGAAAACATCTTGATGACGGATCAGTAAGATCCAGTCAAATAATTTACTGATAATGCTTAAGCAATTCCACGATAGTTTTCAGAATCATTTAGTGATCGTTTCCTGTTTTTGGGAATAGATATAATTGTAGACAATACAAAGTTTTCGGGTGTATAACCATGATATATCAAGAAAGTTAGCATAAGTGATAGGTGAACAAAATATAGATTACTACCATTCTTCAAATGATCAGTTGATTGGTCTATATTTTATTTTTGGAGTAATACTATTTTGATTATTGATACATTATTAAGAAGTAGTCTTTGAAACCATAATGATAAACCCCATTTTATCTTATTACGGCTCTCTCTCTCTCTCTCTCTCTCTCTCTCTCTCAGGAAATTATTGATATGATATGCCAGTGATTCTCAACCAGTGTGCCGTGACACACAGGTGTGCCGCGAGATCTCCCTAAGTGTGAACTGAAAATTTATTACTGTCCACTAATAAGTTCGTAGCTGTGTTTTTCTTTATTTAGTTTGAGGTAATTCTTTGTGTTTACTAATCTCTGTCTACTGTTGCATGCTGTCTAACTTACCATGTTTTTATTTTGCAAAATTTAAATATTTCTCATACATATTTAGCCAGATGTAACGCATTTTGTTCATGTGTTCCAGGGCGTGCCGTTGTCAAAAAAGGTTGAGAACCACTGCGATATGCAATGTATCTTACCGTCACAGTTTTTTCCTAACTACCCAGAACAAATACAGCTGTAACCGTTACCCACTGGTGCCATCATTTTTACATGGGTTAAGATCGCAAACTGATACTAGAATTGATAATATTAACTACAGTAACAACTATGACAGTTTTTCTTTAAAATTATTACAGACTAGAAGAATGCCCGGCTTCGCTCGGGGGTCATAACTCCGAAACCGGAAGTGGTAGGCTAACGCCACCTGGCCTATGTTACTCCCCGGTCCGAGCTACCTCTATACCCCAAATTTCAGACTCGGGGCAGACCTAGTGTAGCCGCCAACCCCGAACAGACAGACAGTCACAAATATTAGTATAGATATACATTAATTACTTGGTAAATGTTATAAATCAAATGGGTTTAACGTTTTACTGTTCTGCTCCGACTGGGATAATGAAGACAGGGTAAACGTTTTAGAGGATTGACACAAAATTTTCAACTTTTAAAAAGTGAAACATAACATGTGACCGTAAATATGCGCCCTAGTAGGAATATTTGTTTACCATGATGAAGATCATTTTGAAATCAGTTAAAACAATATAATCTTTGCACCCACTGAAAAATATAGTGGCCTTAATCCAAGTAGAGAAATGAACTGAGTGGTGTGAGGGGAAGTGAATCAAACATTCGTTTTTCTTGTAATGTCTCATATTCTTTACTGCGATGGGGTCCCAAGGACACCAGTTTGTCCGAAGACCCAGAGCTACCCAGTCCGCCTGAACAAATAATGAACCTCTCTTATGGTTGATTATGTTTAATTTGATAAAGCATAGTATACATTATATTATACAGTTTGACAGTCCACCTTTATAGTGTAATAGAAAATAACAAATCCTTGAAAACAAAAAATAACAAATATTTAAAAATACTAAAACCTCACTTTTACAGCACGATTCACACAGATGAGCCTCTTTTACCTCTGAGCAACTGATGCATCTTGGATTTCGCATCCCTCTATCTTTTGACCAAGGCCACACGCTCCTTTGTCCAGAAACAGTCACAACAGAGGTCAAGACCAATGCAATCCGCAAAATAACACGCATGATTATAATACTATATATAATACGATACTATACTATTGCACAAGAGTACGTGAAATAATTACACTGAACACGGGAGTATATCGTTTGTTTTATACACAAATATCTGATCACACTTTTGTTTTTTTATCACAAATACCTGAGCAAAAATTATATGCATCAATTGTGTTTGGAAATAAAATCAGTAACTTTTATTTGGTCGTAAATTTTAGATCTAACGGTTTTAGCAATCAACTTCTTGTCGACATGTTGGCTTTATTTTATTCCCGGAAATAATAATTTATATTTGTTCTGTTTGTGTTTCCTCCTTGATCGTGATTGGTTATTCAAGATAAACGTGGAGGGATCGTCATTGTCCATGCACGAGGCAAGGTATATCCGGGTTAATGAATTTATGAAGGTCACTAAAATAATAGAAAAAGAATTCAGTCGAATGTTATATAAATTAAAACAATACATAAAGCACGACTAGTTATGAATGTTCACCAACCGCCATGGTATGAGATTTGTATATTCTCTCAAACTTCCATCACCAAGAATTTTGTGATTGGCAATTTTGTGAATATACTTGCCCACCCCCCCCAAAAAAAAAAAATTACATAGTAGACCCTAACTCCTATTTATTTACAACAATTATTAGGATTAGTTAAGATTCTATCTGTATAAAACAATGTACAAATTAAAACACAAACACTTATGTTTACTTTTTGAAATCCATTTATAATACACAAAATGTACAAAATACTTTAAATATCTATACAACTTTCTTGTAAATGTCAATGTGTATATGTATATAGTATTGTAGTTAACAAGGTGATTGTCAAATATGCATCCTCATAAACTAAAGTTATGTGATCAAGTTTTGTTTCTTTTGGATTTTCCGGGATGTTTTAGTTTAACGCCGTAATATATGCCAAACCAGTGTTTACAGAGTGTTTGACCCTCCCATACTCCCCCTATCGCGCTACATCGGGCCTCCGGCGTCACAGATTGTCAACATTTTATATAATTTCATTTGCGCCCCCACCTCCCAATATATATTTCACGGCTACGCCTCTGAACGCGTGTGAGTTGTATCATAAAGCCTAAATAAATGTATATGTACAAATTATGCATCTGCCAATTAGTTTACAAGATCGAGAATGTTATCATTAAGTAAATTGTGTTTTAGGATTCTTTAAAATCCTTTTCGAATATTTTGTTTACATCTATTTCAGATTTGTACACTTTTGATGGAAATATTTCTTCATGGTCAAATACTATTATGTAGTATTAGTACTCCACATAGGCTAAATTACATATTCGAAAGAGAATCATAGTTTAAGTATAAGATACTGGATAAGTTCAAACTGTTTTGCCATGGGTCCAGCAAGGAAACGGCGTCTTAAACCGAGTACTCGCTGACGTGCTCGTTGAAGACGTTAAGGCGTAAAAGCCGCTACCTGAACAAAATTCTCTCATAGTTAACTAACTGCATGCCATAGGGTATACCCATCTTCATTAGCCCGGTTGGTGAAAAAACTAGAACTGTAACCCCGTTACATTTAAATTCTCCCATCTTGCATATACCGTTTTGTGAATTAATTCCATGGCTTGCATCGATATATTTCATTATGGTCTACGGCGCACAAGTGTTAAAAATACCCATCCCACACCTATCTCAGAATTAAATGCTTACACATTTTATTGACAAAAATGGTATATTCAGGATTTGAAATATATTATTTATTTGTAACAGTCATTAATGATGGGCGGATCAACGATTTTCAGATAATAAGAAAAGTGGAATGGAGCGCTGTAGATGGTATATATTACGAACACTTAAAAAACAAAGAATGCAAATTCAATGTCCAATATATATATATATATATATATATATATATATATATATATATATTATGGACAGGTTGATTTAACTGAATTATTTACTTTTAAAGGCGTAATATATATACACTCTTCAAAAAAAGTAGGGGATATTCAGAAACAATACAAAACTGCGGAAATGCACTACACATGAGCATAAACAGTTCATATGGGCGGCTTATCTGACGACCCCATTTCACTCGCTAAGAGATACACCGTCAAACGTGAAAATGGACGTTTTTGATTTTTGTCTTAATAATGAGTAATTGCTCCACCAATCCTCAGCAATTCGTCGTGGCATGCTCCTAATCAATCGTCCAATTACGATTTGGGACAGTGCCACGGCCAATTCTTGCAGTGTTGTCGGTGGACGTTGACGTCGACGAACGCGTCTCCCGATCAAATTAAACGTAACACACTAAAGCAAAGATACGCCAAACAGTAATTCGTATGCAAGAACCGATAGGAAAGCAAACATGGATAGATAAACCAGCACCCGGCAGTTTTCATCAACCCTGCCTTGAAGTGTCAAATTTGACAATGAACCCCTCCCACGTCTATGACGCTATTGCGCGTCGCATGTGCAGCACAGTGGTTCTGTTGGGGCGATAAGTTCTTCATCTGTGAACATACTCTCAAAGCATGTCAAGTGTCCATGATTATTTATCATATCACAATCTGCATAGGTATTGGCGTTTTAATATCCCCTATTTTTTTTGAAGAGTATTATATATAGTAAAAGGTTATAGTTAAAGCTATTCTCAGGTGTTAGATATTAGAAATAAAGTTGTTTTAGGAAAGAAAATTAGGCTTTTGGGAGTATTGTCCGCTTAATTAAGCTGCTTCAGGCACAACCAGTTATTTTCCATGATTAGTCATACAGTGCTACGTTGTGAGCAATTAACTTAACAGTTAATTCCCGATTCTGCTATGAATTTCGAGATCGCTTCATATTATATGGCATATTGCGAGGATAGAGAGAGGGGCGGGGGTATATTGAACTTTTCTGGCATCTTCAATTAAACTTCTTACAGGGAATCTTTTCTCTTCCAATTTTTTGCACGCAATTACGACATGATTAACGTTTAAAATGTAGCCGCATTCGCACTTCACTGGATTATATTTATGGTCGATAATTAAATCTTTAGTTCTCAGTCCTGTGATTAATCCACACATTATGCGCCACGTGTGTTTGACCTCCGACTTGACAACTAGATCGTTATTTAATTGAAATTTGAAAGAATTTACTCTTGCCAGCTCATTTTAGATTTGACAATGCTGTTAAATTTCTGGGCGGTATATTTTAAGTCTTCGGTCTTGCATAAGTTGAGTCCATTGCGAGCAAGTTTGTCTGCAGACTCATTTCCCAATATGCCGACATGGGATGGTATCCATGTAAATTTTACGGTTTTATTTTTAACACGAGGGGAATCAACATTTGCTCGAATATTCTGAACAATTTCTGGTCTAGATGTTGTTTTGTCATGCTACTTAGGGAATCCGACACACAGAAAGCTCTTTGAATGGTGGATGATAAAAGCCAATCGAGAGATGTGGATATTGCCTTTAATTCTGCAGTATAGATGGAACACTTATCTGGTAACCTTTTTGATATATTAACATTAATTTAAGGAATGATGACACCGATTTGACAATTTGATCGTGGGATCACGTGCTTTATTCAACATGGTCTCCATCTAGCCACAAGAACTGTTCACAGTCGAGTTTGACGACAGGGATCGTGAGAGGGTTGATAGCCGGGACACTTGGACAGGGGCCCAATGCACTGTAGAAGATCGTAAAGTGGAAGAAAATTGGTAACTTTTCTGAATCTTGGTACCTAGTAGCGTGGGTAGGATTAGAATCGAACTCTGTTAGTCCATTTCTTTTGGAAAAATTGGTGAATTTAAAACTACAAACCACCTCCCGGCCCATCCTCGTTCCGTTTGAAGTTCTTGTCACCGTCAGGGTATCCGGGCCCCGGCGGGTTATCGGGGCCTAGTCCGGGCCTGTAGAACGCTACAGTGCGCGCCAGTGTCGCGCACTGCCGTCAGTTATCATGCATGCGATTATCGATCGCTTATGTAGGCTGACTGGTATCCGATCATCAAAAACGAAATTGAAAGATAAACTTTTACTTTCGACTTCATTTCGTTAGACGCTAACAATCTTGATGTTTTTCAATATTTTTGCCAACTGCGGACCTTCTGACGGTCCGATTCGTCACTAATATATCTGGGAAAAGCTTATTATCGTTCAGTCTGGCAATTTTAAGCTTCGAAAATGGCTTATCACGTACTGTTAAGTTTTATAAAGCTATTAATTAACTCGCTTCCAAGTGTGCACGAAAAGTTCGGTCTGGCCGTTTTAAGCATCGAAAATGGCTTATCACGTACTGTTAAATTTTATAAAGCTATTAATGAGCTCGCTTCTAAGTGTGCACGAAAAGTTCCATTAGAAACCAGTTAAACATGGTCTTGGGTATTGAAAAAAATAAACGAATAGTTTATGTGATGGAACAAATTTCCAGTTTGATATTTTGGCTTCTGATGGTCACGGTTTTTGTTTTTCCATGTGTTTTCCTGCTTAAAAGTTGCTGCCAAAATCATGTACCCCTGATTATTATTAAATCAGTAAAACGTAAACGTAGTATATGTATTGTCATATGTTGTGTTAAATCTAAGATGCTGTGTTTTTGCAAAGCGACCCCAAGTTACCCCAGATACACGCCAAAATGACGCTAGAGGCCAAGTATCTTTCAAAAATTTCCGAGACCACCACCAACCCAACCCATGGTTCATATTTATTTCAATAATTCGCTTGCGTGTAATGGTCTATAGCAGTGGGTGGGAACCGGAGAAAACCCACGAGATTGGGCAGGCGACCATACTCCTTGTCATGTAAAAGTGTGGGAATCGAAACCGCGTCATGTTACTCTGTGACAGACCTTATGATTTAAAGCGCGCGCGTTAGGCCATTCAGTCACCTAACCCTCCTCCTAACCCATAGAGCCATCCCATGAGTAATTAGCCAATCGATGTATGGTCAATGTTTTACGCTCAAATGCATGTGTAGTAGCTCATCAAGGGTCTATTTAAAGGAGCTAAGTCGATAATATTTGGGATCTAGAAATTGACACAAATGGGTTGCAACACATAATGTAATATGAATGTATAAACTGATTTACATTCAATCGTTTCTGTTTTACTGTAA